TTCTCCCCAAGCAAACTACGGAAATGAGCGGGAATTTGTGTTCGTTTCTCTGTCATAGCTAAGGTTACAGTAACAGGATGACTGTCTTTTGGGATATCGCCGACGACGGACGCATCAACCACCTCTGAAACGTCGGTTAATTTCTCCGGCTCACCATCTCAGAAGGCAGTCATCTTTATAAATTTACTTACTGTTTTGTAAGGGTATATAGTCCGTTTATTTTAGATAATGATATTAAAAAGGTTCGTGTAGAAGTCGATGTGAAGGTGGGGGATGTTTATAAAGTCCAATTTCGTGCTTTTACGAGCACGGTGATAAACCTTATGGACATGCTGAGCAAGTGTTTGCTCCGTGGACAAGATATGAAAGTTCGCTTGCACCGAAGAAAGAAGTGCGGATGTTGGGGTGGTCGGAATCCCAGAATGAGTGGCAAGCACCCACCAACCCCAATCAGAAGAAACGAGTGGCTAAAGACAGCAGATCTTTGAACTGGGTGGTCGTTGAGGACATTTTGTTGAAAAACGCGCTTTGAACGAGAATCCGCTTAATCGTCGAAGCAGTGGCTTGTGCAGAAGGACTTCAGGGCAGGCCGTTCGGTTCAAGGACGACGTTCCTCCGCGACCAAGCCCTTACTCTGTACAGCTTTCGGCGAAGAAGAAACATGCATCCGAGTGTCGTCGAATTTTTGAAGGCGCGTGGTATTAATTCAAAAATCTCGCTTATTTCAGTCCCGTCTGATCTTCATGAAGCCTATTTGGACTGCGAAATTTGCTTTCAGTTAGTACCAACTTAAATCCGTAATGTGTAGAATAATAAGAAAGAATTGGACCTTACATGTTTTACTTCATTATAGCATCATACTCCGATGATGGTTAATGGTCATGAAATTCCCTGCGTTTATGAAATCCGAATGCTCATTACCGAGCTCTCAAAAGCCTCGTACTGGGCAGTTGAAGTTAGTCCGTGATTTATACCTTCTTTCTTTTAGATACATTTTAATATTATATTCCAATCCGTGTCCAGATCTTCAGGTTGTCCAAGAAAACTTTTGTTTCGTTGTGTGTTTCTCACCACCCGAGCCTACTGTAGCGTGCAGATTATAACAAAGCATCCTTCGCGGCTTGTTCTGGTTACAACGCACACTTACGTGTCAAACTTTAACCCTTGAAGGCGGCCGATGTGGTTTAAAGATGAATTTGTAATAGAGCTGATTTCTGACGTGCGTTCATGTAGGATTTTCCGTGTTTGACAGAGTAACATAATTGTATCAGTGAGGACGTTAAATCCACGCTTCTGGAGACGCCGTACGCGGTAGGCGGAGGGCTTTTGTCACTTGGAAATCATAATTTTGTAATGTGTGTCATGCACCCTAGAATCATTCGAAGTTTAGGTGAACAATGCTCGTATGCCAATCGATATGAGGACCTGAGTGGGCGTGTCAAATTCAGGAATGATGCGCCCTCATTGGGGGGCGATTGCGCCGGATCTCGACGCCTGCCCGCGTCGTCTCTGTCAACCAGCGAACAGCCACGGCTTCATTACGGCGAGAGACGAAATGCGAAGGGCGAACAGCGAACTCTGATTCCGCCACTGCCATTTGCCTCTTCTGTTACGGAACTAAATCCCCAAACTTTGAATTCGTCAGCAGGACTCCTTGCATGGGAGATCGGCTCCTCGCAAAGCCCCTGCTTAAAAAAAAAGTAATGAAAATGGGTGGCACTGATGAGACATGTAGCATGCAGGTCACCTGAGTTGAGATGGAATTAAAAATTAAAATTTTAAACTAGTGTGAAGGTACGTATAAGCTGAACTGGACTATGGTCAGGCGACAGCCATTCTGTGAATACGGTATGCCTCGTCCCGGTTTAGGAAGAATATTTATTTACCTGAGGAGGCCGGACAATACAAGACCCTACGTCAGGGCAGTACAAGTTCCGCCTTCGTGTCTGAAAAGGCCACAGAAATTCCAGAAAACATTCACCGTGACACTGGCCTTCAGGGACTCTTGACAGACCAGGTTCAAACTTGAAGCTCGTTCCTTTTTTACGACGAGAAGTTTCCAACACCCAGCTAAAGGACAACCCCTAGTCGCATGTACGCGACTGCTACTGCTGTATTCTCAATTGCCTTCTTCAGGCGTGTCTCTCAAAATGAAGATGTTGAAACGCACAATTATAATTTTACCTGCGTTTTGTATCGGTCTCAAAGCTGATCTCTCACATGGAGGGGAGGGTGCCGAGAACATTTAAGCACAAGAAGGAGGCTCTGATAGGGCGCCGTGGAGAATTACGAAATTCGGAGCTTCATAATTTCTAGGTGGGCTGCTATTTCGTCGAATATCGCTGCTTTAAGATGATCGTATGAAAAAAATCATGGGAGATGTTGTTGATAAATTAGTAGAAAGCTGTGACCTTGAGATACACGAATTCCGGTGGAGAATGCCAGTGGAACAGATGTCAAAATCGATTGTGAAGACTTGGACTGTACTCATAGGCAGGATGCAATTCTGAGAACACAGTGACTAGCCTGAGGGTTCCATAAGGGCTGGGGATTTGTTGGACAGCTGAGCGACTGTCAGATTTGCAAGAGGAACGCTGCTCTGTTGAAACAGAGTCCGACTTGTGTCTTAAACTCTTTCCTTTCAATTGACCTTTGTGAAAGGCAGGCTTCCGTCACTCCGGTGAGGCAGTCTGTGGGTCGAACTCGGCACCGCGGGTGCAGAGGTGCCCCGAGCGTCGCAGTAAGAGAGCTGCACCTCAGTTGGGTCTGCGTTTCGGAAATTGTTTTCGACACCGTGCAGGAGTTTGTTTCTAGTTTCAGCCACACAGACGCATCTCACGTAATTCGCTACACCGTTATTAACAGCGAAAGGGTTTTAGTCAGAGGTGCATTACATCGCTGGTTCGCTGCTGCTAATAACTTGTTTGGCCCGAAACAAAAAGAGAAAAGGAGAAAA